ACAGGCGACCGCCCATAAAATGGGCGGGTCGCTCGTTTTGTCTGAACTTCCCGAGCATTCTCGAATTCTTGTTCTTCCGTGCTCGCTTCGTGAGGATTCATCGTGGAGTCTTCCTGCAAGGAAAAACAAGCAAAACAACCTACCCATGGCCATCTAACGTCCTATGATGTCTAGAATGTGAGAAGAATTGTGATGCATGACGTTATAAAACCGGTGAAAAACCCGTGTGATCATTCTTATGATTTGCTTTTGATACATTCTCATCATTTTCATATTTTCTCTAGATCTAGATTTGGATTGGAATCTGATTCAGTTGTTTACTTGTCCCTATATTCGACCCTAGCTACTACACACGATCCGTACACTTGGGGTATTTGTTGAGTCTAGGAATATTATTACTTGATCATATTTCTACATCTAGATTTGCGACAATCATGTTTTTGGCGCAGTTGCCGGGGATGTCTAACGCTAGACATCCAATATCAAAACCTAGCATTAAGTGCTGCCAACTGGATTTTTTTGTTTTTCTTTTTCTTCAGTGATTTCTCATGTTTTCTTTGTTTGTCTGTTGTTTTTCGTTTGTGTGCAGGGTTCACTAGTGCATGACCAGAAGTTCTAGGACGTCCGACCTAGTACCTCTTGATCCTGAACTTGAAAGAACCATCACACACCTCCGACGATAGCAAAGACAGATGGAGAACAACCGAGATTTTGCTCTTCCTGATGGTGTCGAGGGCAATGCTGACTCAACCTTTGCCCAGTACAATACGCCTAAGAACACTGAGCTTTTGGCTGGTATTCGATTACCGGCCATCGACATGTCGAGTTTCGAGCTGAACCCGTCTACTATTCAGATGTTGGGCTACAATGCTTTCTAGGGAAGGCCAAACGAAGACCGGAACGCACATTTAACTCGCTTTAAGATGACGTGTCGTTCTATCAAGAGAGATAACAGGGTGACAGAGGATACACTTCGCTTAATTGCTTTTCCCTGGACTCTCTTGAATGCTGCTTTGGAATGGTGTTATGATCTGATACCTGACTCCATCCACACCTGGGAACAGTTGGAAGTGCGGTTTATGTCAAAAAAATTTCCAGCTCACCGTACTCAAGCCGCTCTTTCTGGCATTCATTCATTCAAGCAGGATCATGGGGAAAGTCTTCATGACGCTTGGAAGAGGTACAAGGGATATCAGAAGTCTTGCCGTCATCACGGCCTAGATAAGAACTACCTAATCAACACCTTCTTCCGAGGACTCAGGATGGATACCAAGACCTTGATCCGGGCATCTTGCGGTGGGAGTATCCAGAACAAATCATTCGCTGAGCTAGAAGAACATATAGAGATGATGGCCCAAGAAGAAGACGCCCCGAGTGAGTACTCTAGAGATTTGCCAAGGAAAGGCAATGATCATACCATACAGATGGTTTTCGAACAATTGATTGTCCTCAATGCTAAGCTCGAAGATTCCAAGCGATCCTCTAGGACCGAACATTCGACGCCAACACAAGAGGAGCTCGGTATGTACGCACTGGACGAGAGAGTCGAGGGTGTGAACTATGTAGCCAACAACCCCTACTCGAACACATACAATCCGGGGTGGAAAAATCATCCCAATCTCTCCTACAAGTCAAATAGTGTTGAGAATCCCGCATCGAATAACTTCAGAGTATCCGACAACTCGAACCAGAGGATTCCTCCCCGCTTTGCTTTTCAATCCAGGGGTCCTAATCAGACATCCAACTACAGAGTTCCGGGACAATCCTATAGCAATGTTGCATCTCCAGGTAATCTCGAATCTAACCTTAATACGTACGGTCCCCTTATACAGCTTTTGCAGAGTCAAGAGAAGACGAATCAAGAATTTCGTGCTCAGTTCGCAAGCATCGAGGCTCACTTCAAGAACATAGACAACCAGATTGCTCAGCTAGCATCAGCCTCTCAAAGACCATCCGGATCTCTTCTAGGTAAACCTGAGACTAACCCCCGTGAACATGTCAGTGCGGTTATTTTGAGAAGTGGTAAGCAGGTATACGCTGAAGACCGACCAATGGTTGAGCAAGGCAAAAGCTTGAAGACTGCAGCTGTAGACATTACCGATAATGAACCGAAACCGGCTTACGTGCCCCCTCCTCCTAGGCCACCACCAGTACCATTTCCATCTGGCCTGAGGAAGCACAACGAAGACAACCAATTCGCGAAGTTCGTTGAGATGCTAAAGAAACTCGAGGTAACCATGCCATTCACTGACGCTATTTTGCAGATTCCCTCATACACGAAGTACCTCAAGGACATTCTGACCAAGAAGAGGGTCGCTGAGAAAGAAACTGTGGCGCTTACGGCCGAATGCAGCGCTTTGATCCGACACGAGCTCCCGCTTAAGCAGTCCAATCCAGGTAGCTTTTCAATCCCTTGTAAATTGGGTAATGTTTCCATCGATCGTGCACTATGTGATCTAGGAATTGCCGTCAGTCTTCTTCCATTATCGATCTTCAAGAAGATGAATGTGGGTGAGCTGAAACCCACTAGAATGACTCTCCAACTTGCCGATCATTCTGTCAAATACCCCATTGGGATACTCGATGATGTGCCGCTGAAAGTCGGGAATTTCTATATCCCGGTTGACTTTGTGGTTCTCGACATGGACGAAGATTCTAAGGTACCTATCATCCTTGGTCGTCCATTCTTTTAATACTGCAGATGATGTTATCCATGTTAGAGCAAGTAGACTGACCATGAAGATTGGAGATGAGACGGTGGAGTTCACTTTGGACAAAAATCTCAAACAACCGTCATCAACAGAATCTGCTTGCTTCATAAACACACTCGACGATTCAGCTCAGAAGTATGAACCGATCATTTCGGGCCAGGAAACCGATCGGTTTGAACATGATCTCAATGCCAGAATTTTACAGAAAGTCGAACCGATCGGTTCATGACCTTCAACCGATCGTTTCGAAAACAGAGTTCGAAGCAAAAAGTTACAGAAACTCAAACCGATCGTGTCGCATTGTGAAACCGATCGGTTCGAGCACCCCTTTCGAGCTTCGGAGTTACAGAACTTGGAACCGATCGGTTCTACATTCTCTAACTGATCGGTTCAGACCCCAGCACGATAGGACACCTCATTTTCATCTCGCATGGGCGTTCACGACCTCTCTCACTCAGTTCAACAGGTCACTAGCCTATCAGACCACCATTCTCATACACTTAATGATCCAGGTTGGCGACAGATCGATAATCTTCACCTGTTAGACCCGTATGGTAGCTGAGAAGGTTCGGTCAAGCTAACGACCTTAAAAAGCGCTTCCGGGATGCAACCCGAGTTCTTAGGTTAGTTTTTCTTTCCTTTCTCTTTCTTTTTGCATCGGATATTGGTTTGTGTCTCTTATCACCAGGTTCAGTTCTAATGAGGAGCTATTGAGGAGGCAAGGAAGCTAGCTATGCGATAGACGTAGGCAGACTTAAGTGCGAGTGAACGAACGTCGCGAGCTAAGTATTCTTTTCTCTTTTTGATTTACTTCTCTCTTGACTCATCTTATTGGTTGCCTCTACTAGATGAGAATTGACACCGAGGACAGTGTCTAGTTCAAGTCTGGAGGAGGATTCGTCTAACGCCAAACCATATCTATTTAGAGTAGTGTTCCATCTATTTTTTTATTTTTTTTCTTTTCACTTTTTAGTTGCAGGAGCACATAGAGTGTTCTAGGATCATATAGATTGTTGTTAGGATTATGCATTTACATATAGCACTTAGGACATATAAGATGAGTGCATAAAACCGTTTTGAGCATTGATGTGATGATTTATTGTATGAGAGAGTAGAAACGTCTTGAAAACATTCTGATCCGTTGTACGTGGTTATGTTTTGTTGAATTGATTGCTTGACCTTTAGGAATGTCTAGAATGGCTTGTGGGATAGAAATCGTTGGTTGGAACCCATGGGACCGATATTGTCTAGTCAGGTAGAAAAGTTTCTATAAGAACCTTTCCCAAGTTTGCTGAAATCGGTAAAGTCTATTATCAAATGCATTCTTATTTCTTTGTGTGCAGAAAAAGATAGTGAGCATCTCGACACTCCGCTGTCACTATCTCGTCAACGAAAATCGTTCGAGGACATGAGTGCATCGATTCGATGGTTCGGGTCTAAGTTGTGGGTCGGATTATCCAATAAACAAATTCGAAAAAAATTGATTAGGAACCCTTCAACTTCAACGACCTAGAAACCCGAGCGATGCTAGCAAAAAAAAAAGGAGAAAGTCTAGGTAGATGAAAAAAAAGGAGAGAAAGATAAAAGGAATGGATGCCGAAAGCGTATACTAGATACGATTAGGTATAATGGCGTAATAGGTTCGAGAAACATGCTTGATAGATGATTGAAGTTCTTAGATTGGTTCTAGGTAACGGTATAGATCCCATGGCTAGGAAAGATTATCCGTTAGAGAGGGAGATCATATTAGACAGACTTGATCATTGTTCACGGGGATCTAGGTCGGATAGAGGTTTCGCTCTCGATTATCATTTTGAATTATGTCATTGTCTCGCCCTCCTTTCAAATTGTTTTTCACATAGTATTTGTTCGAGGACGAGCAAAGGTTTAAGTCTGGGAGAATTTGATAACATGTATTTTGGGTGACGTTTTGATATAGGATGTCTAGCGTATTTCACTCTATTTTCCATATTTGTAGGCATTCTAGGGCACATTTGGCTTCGATATTGCATGGTTGTGTTCTTTGGGGTTTAAACAAGTTTTCACGTATAAAAAGAGCAAAAGGAGTGGAAAACATGAGCTATGGAACATCACGGACGAAACGGGAACATTTGGAGTGTTTCCAGGGAAAACGTGAAACTTAGAAAATGTCAGATCTTGCAAGTCTGATAACTTTCACTCTACAAGTCCAAATCATGCATTCTCTACATCATTTGAAAGCTTTCTTCGACATCTACGCAACCAAGATCACCCAAATCCGATATCGGAGCAGGAAGTTATGAGCGAATTCGTGAAGCCCGTTAAAACTGCTCAAAAACACGACAAGATCGGTTCGGGTTTAGCGAAACGATCGGTTCGACATTGCAGAAATTGGAAAATTGCTCAGAAAGTGTAATCGATCGGTTTGGCTTTGCCGAAACGATCGGTTCGACCCCCAGATTCGGGAAAACTTCCAATTTTTCCCAAACCGAAGTGAAATAAGAGGGAAAAGCCTCTAGGTCGAAAATAATTCAAGCTTTACACAGAGAATACACCCAAGAGCACAAGAAAAGGGGGTGATTATCAAGAGGCAAGAGATGGGAGTAGAAGACGGAGATTACGAAGCCGGAAAATCGACTAAGCATTCTTCATTTCTTCTATTTTACGATGTCTTGTATTATTGATATGAACCCTGATGTCTCGATGTTTAGCGAGTAGTTCATTTGTTGTGGGTTAGGGATTTTGCTATGTAGGGATCTTTGGTTTTTAATTTCAGTCTATATGGTATTATTTATTTGATTCAGTTTATTGAGTTGTTCTTAATGCGTTTGATCTTGTTGGCCACTCGATTGAATGAACTTAGGGTTTTAATTCGCATAGACATATGGGATTCTAACCTGGAAATAACTCAGTAAATGGAACAGGTATTGCATCGAGAGATGAATATTTGCCTAGGGATTATGATAACATTCGTTTATGCATCCAGGGTTTAGACTATTGAATCAAGAGATTAGTAGGATAAAGCTTGGATAGTGAGGTTACACTCGAGAGAGTTAATCTCTACTTTAGAGCTTGAATTCCCTGAATTGGATTTAGAAACCACATAATCTGCATATTTAGAGAAGACCCTTGCATGTAAAGCAATCCCGAAACCTGCAGTGTTTATCATTCATAGTTACAACCGTTTTTATTGTTTGTTTTGTCACATTCTCTCACTCATATTATTTCCTCTAGACCTTGATTTGGATTTGGATTTGATTCAGTTGTTTAATTGTCCCTGTGTTCGACCCTAGCTACTACACACGATCCGTACACTTGCGGAATCTGTTGAGTCTAGGAATATTATTACTTGATCATATTTCTACACCTAGACTTGCGACATCAAGTTTTTGGCGCCGTTGTCGGGGACAATTTAGGCAACAGGATTAGATCCTATCTGGTCTGGGTCTATTTTCTTTTATTTTATTTTTTTTCTTTCCCTTCGTCTCCTTTTTTCTTTGTCTTCCTTTGTTTGTGCAGGTACGTCCTTTTTAGAGCATTAGTAGAGAATTGAGGATATGAGCTATTACATGGATGATCCATACCTCGATCCTTATGATTTGGATTAGACGCATTATCCCGACCTCTCCTATGATTCATATGCTTCGGATGCTCAAGAGTGGGATTTCAACTATCATCAGAATCAGGGATCCTATCAATTCCAGACATATCAGCCTACAACCCCATTACATTTCTATCAGGGTTATGAGGCATACTACCATTTTGAAGGACCACCTCAGGAGGCACACATTTATCCACTACTTCAAACTCAGCAAGAGGCAGATTCTAACTTAAACTCTATGCTTGTTCAGGTTTTGCAGAAAGTGGAGAATGATAATAATGAGCTAAAGGGCTTCTTGATGGATGTGAATTCACGACTCGAGCTCATCAACAATTGACTCGTTAATCTTATCTCCTCATCGGTTTGGTCGCAAGAAACTCTCACGGAAGAACCAGAAATGGATTCTAAAGAGTACCTTAACACCACACCATTGAAGGTTGAAGAGCAATCTGAGTTAGTCACACCATGAGTCATCAAGAAAGGTGAGTGTTCTAATGCTTATTTGGATTATACGTCTGACTTTTTGATCGCAGATGAGCATTTAAGGACGAACTACGAAGAGACAGAACCGAAATATGTGCCTCCACTGCCAAGACCACCAATGGTTATGTTCCCTTCACGCCTAAAGAAACACAAAGAAGACGTTCAGTTTGATCAACCATGTTCACAAAAGCGAAAATTCGAGGTGAAATCACATAAGGTTGAACTGGTTGTTTACTCGTCTGAGATCATTCCCATCTCGGGTCGAGCAGTTTCCCAAACTGATATTCAAGGAGATCCACCACCTCTTCCATCTGACCCCCAATTACCACCACTCAATCTTCGATCGCTCGATAAGGTAAATGAAGAACTATATCACATCGATCGAAGTCATACCAAGTCAGGTGAGTTTGTCCCATCTAATCTCATTCCACCTAAAACCATTCATCCAGGAACCATTCCCCCTGAACCCCCTCCTACATGAGCAAGACGAGTCAAGCTAACGACCTTAAACAAACGTTTCCGGGAGGCAACCCAAATTCTTAGGTTAGTTTTTCTTCCCTTTCTTTTTCTTTTTGCATCGGATATTGGTTTGTGTCTCTTATCACTAGGTTCAGTTCTAATGAGGAGCTATTGAGGAGGCAAGGAAGCTAGCTATGCGATAGACGTAGGCAGACTTAAGTGCGAGTGAACGAACATTGCGAGCTAAGTATTCTTTTCCCTTTTTAATTTACTTCTATCTTGACTCATCTTATTGGTTGCCTCTATAGATGAAAATTGACACCGAGGACAGTGTCTAGTTCAAGTTTGGAGGAGGATTCGTGTAACGCCAAACCATATCTATTTAGAGTAGTGTTGTATGTATTTTTTTATTTTTTTCTTTTCACTTTTTAGTTGCAGGTGCACATAGAGTGTTCTAGGATTATATAGCTTGTTGTTAGGATTATGCATTTACATATAGCACTTAGGACATATAAGATCATGTGCATAAAACCGTTTTGAGCATTGATGTGATGATTTATGGTATGAGAGAGTAGAAATGTCTTGAAAACATTCTGATCCGTTGAACGTGGTTATGTTTTGTTGAATTGATTGCTTGACCTTTAGGATTGTCTAGAATGGCTTGTGGGATAGAAATCGTTTGTTGGAACCCATAGAACCGATGTTGTCTAGTCAGGTAGAAAAGTTTCTATAAGAATCTTTCCCAAGTTTGCTGAAATCGGTAAAGTCTATTATCAAATGCATTCTTATTCCTTTATGTGCAGAAAAAGATAGTGAGCATCTCGATACTCAGCTGTCATTATCTCATCAAAGAAAATCGTTCGAGGACATGAGTGCATCGATTCGATGGTTCAGGTCTAAGTTGTGGGTCGGGTTATTCAATAAACAAAATCGAAAAAAAAAATTTGATTAAGAACTCTTCAACTTCAACGTCCTAGGAACCCGAGGTGCTGCAAAAGAAAAAAAAAATCTAGCTAGATGAAAGAAAGAAAAAAAACAAAAAGAAGAAGGAAAAGAATGAATGCCGAAAGCGTAGACTAGATACAATTAGGTAGAATGGAGTAATAGGTTCGAGAAACATGCTTGATAGATGATTGAAGTCCTTAGATTAGTTCTAGGTAACGGTATAGATCCCATGGCTAGGAAAGATTATCCTTTAGAGAGGGAGATCATACTAGATATACTTGATCATTGTTCACGGGGATCTAGGTCGGATAGAGGTTTCGCTCTCGATTATCATTTTGAGTTATGTCATTGTCTCGCCCTCCTTTCTGATTGTTTTTCACAGAGTATTTGCTCGAGGACGAGCAAAGGTTTAAGTCTGGGGGAGTTTGATGTCGCAAATCTAGGTGTAGAAATATGATCAAGTAATAATATTACTAGACTCAACAAATACCCCAAGTGTACGAATCGTGTGTAGTAGCTAGGGTCGAACACAGAGACAAGTAAACAATTGAATCAGATTCCAATCCAAATCTAGATTAAGAGAAAATATGAGAATCATGAGAATGTATCAAAAGCAAATAATAAGAACAAACGATAAACTATCAATGACAGAACACTGCAGGATTCGGGATTGCTTTACATGCAAGGGTCTTTCAAAAGATGCAAACTCATTGGTTTATCTATCCGATTCAGGGAATTCAAGCTCTAAAGTAGAGATTAACCCTCTCGAGTCTAACCTCACTATCCATGCTTTATCTTACTAATCTCTCGATTCAATAGTCTAAAACCCTGGATGCATGAACGAACGCTATCATAATCCCTAGGTGACCGATGCTTGTAGGATAGATGCTTGTAGGATAGATCATAGAGCATAGTGGGAGATTGTTAGTTGTAATGCTCTAGGATGATCCGTGATATGACAATTTGACTTTGTATTGATTCATTAGTTTATGAATCCATTACCCTTCCCGTTATATGATTGGCATGTTTGTTATATTTCGTATCCTTGAATCATTAGAGAATGATTCTAAACTCCCTAGTCAGTTATCATTGTGGGAACAATGATGAATTAAGACTAGCATGAGGTGTGATCGATGCATTGGATGCATATCACAATCATGGGTACTCGTTGTGAACGAGTGACTGGATGACCCGCATGAGATTGTCACATGGACAGAGTCATGACTTGAATCTCATACAGCGGCTCGTTCTTGGATCCTCAGACCTGAGATGTCTAGAGTATCTGATATGAGGAGTGGCGTGTCTTGACTGCGTCAAACGTCGTCTTTAACCGGATGATTATAACGGCGTTGATCAGATACGTTCACGAATCATATGGAGATAATAGACATGCAATATGGGACTTATCACCTCCTCAATAGGAGAGATATCGCTGGGCCCTCTCATGGAAGTCGGACTATGAAAATGCGTGGCCACGCTATAGATGAAGTTGCATCTATTTTACTAGTCGATTTACCAAGACGAGAAAGCGATTGAAGTTGAAGGGTGGCTCAAACCATGCCCTTGTTCAACATATGATATCGTGAGATAAAGGATCAGAACTCGAGCTGTTATTGCCTTGGTTAGATCACCTCTAACTCAATTCAACGTGGGTGGTCATGGCGTCTTGCTAGAGGCTAACCATGACTTGTAGATCGGGAATGGTTCTCGAGGCTGCTGCCACTGCGAATGGGCCTACAGGGTCACACACCATTAGGGATGGACTTATATGTGAAGTTTCGGAAAGGAAGACTTGGATTTGGTCGGAAAAATCGTTTTCGGATCAAATCAGAGTGTCGGGACGTTTTCAGCCTTCTGACTCGGACCGAGTCAGTATTTGACTCGGACCGAGTCAGTTCCACGCGGGTCGAAGCCCAGAAAGTGTTTTGGGCTTGGCTGATGTTTTGACTCGGTCGAGTCAAAGTTTTGACTCGGACCGAGTCAATACTAAATGGGCCGGGTCAAGAGTTGACAATGGGCTTGGGCTGATTCGTTCTGACTCGACCGAGTCAGAGTTCTGACTCGGACCGAGTCAATACTCGGAAAAAGTCTCTTTTCACAAGGATTAGGGTTTCTAACTTATAAGGAGTTGTTGGACGCCGTCCTAAGTAGAGGATTGACTTACAGAACCCTAAGACAGATCTAGAATACAAGAAAATCGTTTCTTTTGAGGTTCTAGTTCCCGGGATTCGATCCCAAGTCTTGAAAACCCGATTCACTTCACAGATCCTAGCAGATCAGTTACAAAAGTGTTTGGAATCCTTCCCGTCGGTGTGGATACGTGTAGAGGAGCTGTACTTTCAGCTCTTGGTGATTAAAACAGGCCCTGGATCGATTGCTACTTTCAGATCTTCAGGAAAGAGGTAAGTATTCGATTCCTACGGTGATATACTCGATTGAACGGGGTTTTACGGATGATTTTGGTTGCGTGTGACGTTTGACTAGGTTTAGATTATCCTTCCGCTGCATGAAACCTAGTAAACCAAACCCTAGATCGATATGATCGCATGCTAGGAATCCGTAGCGTAACCCAACAGTGGTATCAGAGCCTGATTCTCGGACCGAGTCAATACTAAATCTGTTGGGTTATGGTTACGGATTCCTAGCATGCGATCATATCGATCTAGGATTTGGTTTACTAGGTTTCATGCAGCGGAAGAATAATCTAAAATTCCAAACGCTTTTGGAACTGATCTGCTAGGATCTGTGAAGTGAATAGGGTTTCCTAGACTTGGGATCGAATCCCGGGAACTAGAACCTCAAAAGAAACGATTTTCTTTTGTTCTAGATCTGTCTTAAGTTCTGTAAGTCGAGTTCTCTCTTTAGGACGGCGTCCAACACCTCCTTATAAGTTAGAAACCCTAATCTTTGTGAAAAGAGACTTTTTCCGAGTATTTTGACTCGGTCCGAGTCAGAACTCTGACTCGGTCGAGTCAGAACGAATCAGCCCAAGCCCATTGTCAACTCTTGACTCGACCCATTGAGTATTGACTCTATCCGAGTCAAAACTTTGACTCGGTCCGAGTCAAAACATCAGCCAAGCCCAAAACCCTTTCTGGGCTTCGACTCGCATGGAACTGACTCGGTCCGAGTCAAGTACTGACTCGGTCCGAGTCAGAAGGCTGAAACCGTCCCGACACTCTGATTTGATCCGAAAACGATTTTTCCGACCAAATCCAAGTCTTCCTTTCTGAAACTTCACATATAAGTCCATCCCTAATGGTGTGTGACCCTGTAGGCCCATTCGCAGTGGCAGTAGCCTTGAGAACCATTCCCGATCTACAAGTCATGGTTAGCCTCTAGCAAGACGCCATGACTACCCACGTTGAATTGAGTTAGAGGTGATCTAACCAAGGCAATAACAGCTCGAGTTCTGATCCTTTATCTCACGATATCATATGTTGAACAAGG